CTACCACAAATTCTTCAGATGTATTGGCAGTGAAGCACGAGTACGATACTAGTAATGTGCGTGCATTAGTGACATGGTTTGCGCAGCCTCGGAGGTTCCCCCGATGCCAATGACGGTACTAGTGGTGGGCAGGCTACAGAAATGTGATCCTCGGATGAGAAAAGAGAAGGAAGCCTCCGATCCCGTAGAGCCAGGAATTGAGATGTACCGTGAAAAAAGCAAAATAATAATAATTGCAAACCACACCACCCCAATTGGCTGTGGAGCCGGTTGTCTAAAGGCAGCTGCAAATTTTATCAAGGTGTGGCAACTGGATAAGATATTCGCACACAGAATCGCGCCAGATCAACAATAAGTGCAGAGAGAATCGACACTAAGGGTAACGTAAAATCTAACGCCAAAATAGCGTCGCTAGAGCCGGTACTCGAGTACCAGTACCCTAGCTTACTTCATCCTGCGCACATCGTCTCTGGGTGCCTATGCCTGAGGAAGCATTCATGGACACTTTTCCCGGATCGTGCAGAAAAAAAAAAGAAATCCCACGATAAACCATCAGAAAACCAAGCGAAGTGAAAGTCGCAGAGTACAGCAATGCAAGCTCATGCAAGCAATTAGATTAAATAGCAAACTGTTAGGCTAACATACAGCTAGAAAGGCTTGGTAATTACTTTCGTGGAGCCAGCCCATTCCCAGTTGTTTCCATTCCATAGCGCTACCGTAAGACATGGAGTAAATGGGTTCATTGTATGTGTTTTCTCTTTTCCTCTTGCCCAATTCCCACTTTCTCTCCACACTGGTCCCAGCGGAGGGCGGGAGGTCTTTTCTTCGCTGTGATTCCCCGCCCTATTAGGGGTTCGGGAGATCTTATCGTGGGCGCTCAGCTACCTCCCCCCCCCCCCCCCCCATAGCGCATCGCCTTCACATGAAGTTGACCGAGATCCCGGGGCGGTTCAAATATGGCGAAAGAATCTCTACAAACACCGGTACTCGGGTATAGACGTGGGTGACCGGACAGCCAGGGATTCTAGAGGCCTGACCGTTCCTGCCCTCATAGGAAATAAAAGAGTGAGTCTGGCATCAGAATTGCTCGAACAAGCAAGAAGCTTTGACACCTCTAATCCCTGGCTGTCCGGTCACCCACGTCTATACCCGAGTGCAGTACTGTACTAGCCGATTTTTAAAGTCTCCGGAATGGAGGCGATGGTAAGTTATACCAAGACTCAAATTACGCATGGATCACCTAAGACCTCTCTCACCAGTTTTCCTGTAGGTGATTCACCTTTACCAAGGTAACACTTACACCACCCCCTGATAGCTTACACATAGCCAATCCGGAGACTTTAAAAGTCGGCTCGTATCATACAGGCATCTTACCGCCCGTCCCGATGGAACCCTTGCCGCCACCCTGGCCCTGGAGCAGAATCTCGCTTCGCCCCGTAGCGAGAAAAAACC